TTTTCTCCTTTTTTCCAGAGATAAAACAAAAATTTGATATTGGGACTTAAAAGACCCCTTGGGGTATCTAAAAATAATATTTTTTGTTACAAGAATCTGTATTTAAACGTTCCAAGATAAATTATTCGGATCATTCTTCTGTCTCTAATTCAATATATTGGAACTTAAGTCCATTTTTATAATACTAGGATCAACTATTTTCGAGGGAAGTTTTCTGGTATATATTCTTTTAGATATCAGCTTTTATACATTTTAAGTTTTCAAAGTGTTGTGGAAGTGTACAACTCCAAAACATGCCTCGAAGAAGCACCATTCAAAATAGTAAAATCATTATTTTTATATACCAATGGCCTCCATGCTGCATGGCACGATATCATTATGATCACATGAAAAATTTTGATATGTGTTTAAATATTATTTATTATGATCAAAATAAAACCAAAATTTAGGACTTACAGTGTTATTGTAACGGGCAACATAAGCGTGAAAGTTACGAGTAGTAAAAACTGAATTCTACTATATAGGATGACGTTTTGTTAAGACATGTTTTGGGGATGTATACCGCTTTAATATATTGAAAATTTAAAATACATTAGTGCCAATATGTACATGAATATTTATATAGAATATATATATAGACAACTTTGTCGAAAAATATCGTCCCTAGAGGTACGAAAAGGGACTTATGATCCAGATAATTCAATTAGAAACTGAAAAACGATACCAAAAATACATCTTGGAACGTTTAAGTACAGATCCTTATAACAAAAAATATTATTTTTGGATACCCTATGGGTTCTATTAAATTCCAACATTAAATTTTGGTTTTATCTCTGGAAAAAGGGTGAAAACATTACAAATATAGCCAAAAATCACCATTTTTGATATTACATGAAAAGAGGGTACAAATCCCCCAAAATTGTGGACCAAATGGGTCAAAAATATATCCATGCGGTTGATAGTAACCCCTTAAAACAATATTAAGCATAAAACCATGCGATTCTAAAATTTGTGTATCGTATGATCAAATATGAAATACAGGAAAATTCGCATACTTTTGTGAAGTAGTTTCATGGACTTTTTTTTAAAAAAGCACAACTAATTTAAGTAAATGTAAAGTTTTCAAGTTTTCAGGGGCGTGATATCAAAACTAAGGACTATCTAGACAATATAACAAATTTATTTATTTATTTTCCACACAAAATATATTATTAAATTTGGTTTCTTTTCATAGTTTACCTAAATTCGAATACTTATGAGAGACACTGTATATACTTGACAATGGATGTTGTTGAAAAATTTGGTGTTAATTTGGTACCAGGCGTGTTTACTTATTTTTTACATACAAAAAAAGTGAAACAACTGTTTCCATCTTACTTTGTTATTGTTTCATACCAATCGTGTAAACACAAAAAATATAAATCATACGACTTTTATTCTCTTTTTTATCATACGGATGGAATTTCATTTTACTTTTTCATTAGACTTGTCGTACGTAAAGTGTGATCGTCGAATATCGAATGTTATCTAAAGGGCCCTTCAGACGATCACTCTTTACAATACAATTAATTTTACCGAAATATCCACTTTAAATCACTTTAATAACTTTTATTAATTAAATTAACTTGAAATTTTGAATACAATTCATTGTAAATTTGAAAAATTTTAAAATATTTATTTTTGACATTTTCTTTTAAAAAAGTTTTTTAAAACCTCAGCCAGGGATGGAAGTTTTGATTTTTGTTATTTTTATTGGGTTTTTATCAAAAACAAGTTAAAAGTAGTTTTCAATTTGTATGGAAAAACCAAAGAAATTTTAGTAGTTTTTCAAACAAAAACCAAATAAAGCCAAAAACTACTAGTTTTTGGTTGGTGTAAATGGCATATTAAATAAATTTTTTTGATGGATATTTTTTTTTATTGATTATGAAAATGTTCTTATTGTTAATCTGGAATTTGATTTGTATTGTACAAACGTTTGTAAGAAGGAAAAAAAATGTTTCAATTCTGTGTTTGTCGTGGAAACTCTTTGTATTTCGATTTGGGAGGATTTGTACTGATTTTGTGTCCAATCTGCTTTGGCTGTTATTATTATTATTATTATTTTTTTTTTTGAAAATCTGCGTGAGACCGATTTCTGGGTAAGCATTTATGCGAAATTTATATTTTTCGGATTATTACAATGGAAATTTTCATATTTTGGTGGAACAACGAAATTATATTCCTATTGTAGGTACATCGATTAAATTTTTTTGGAATCAGAACTACCATTTTAGTTAGTTCCAACATCTTATCCCCACATTCAAGTATCCAGTTTACGTAAATCACCCTTTTTGTCCATTTTGTCTATGGTGAACATAAATATACAATTAGTCAACACCTTTATGCCTCTAAAAATCGAGAATATCCGGAATCATAGTCACCTAAATCTAATTCATAATTTAGAAACTAATATCGACATAAGTAATATAAATTTTCATCAGACGAAAATTTATACCCTTATTCTAATGTTCGCTCTGTTAACGTTCTTAACATGAATATTTCCACTTTTGTATTCTATAAACATTTTGTGTAAAATGTTAGTTTTTTAACATAAAAGTGCTCTGTTAGTAACGAAATGAAATGTCAATTTCAACGATAAGTTGTAGTGATAGTTTCTTTAAATTGCAGATAAAAGACATTCTTGCAAACTAGAACATTAAGGGGTAAAAAAGTAAAACAAACGGGTAAAACAGGTTTTCTAGTACACACTATTAGAGATACAAGAAAAGTAGATGCTGATGAACAACATCGACTTCTATGAAAAAAGTAGATGGGTATACGTTTAGGATGTAAAAATGTGTAAAAAAGATGATTTGGTACCTTTTATGGCCGTTTAGAACTTTTTAACTAATAAACGGCTGGACCGTTTTTCATGATATTTTCAGTGTTTTCCTCTATTTCGAAATTTCGAGTATACTGGATTCTACGTCCACATACGAAATAAAATCATCAAATTTTTTATGGACAATTATAACATCCATACAAACATTGAAAAAATGAATGTTGAAGGCTCAAGCCAAAGAATAAACAAGAAGTGAAACGCTGTCATTTTTTTACAACAATAACATTACGCTCTTCTCACAGACGAGTGCTGTGTAAATTCAACACATATGTAAAAATTTTATTCTCTCTCCAAACTTCAAAACTTTTTCGCGAAAATTTGAGGATAATAGCACTTTGAAATATTTTTTATCACTTAACATTATATTTTATAATTTTTTTGCACAATTTAAACACATTTAATAGCCCGAAAATAATATATTTTTTACAAACGAAAATAAAATATTTTTTATTTTTTGACATTGAATTTTTGTTGGTTGAAATTAAAACTAAAAAAAACAATGTTGTAAATTTTCGTATGGTAAACGAAAAAGATATTTCAAATAAATAATTTATTTTTGCAATATTATAGATTAAAAAACAAATAGACGTGTTTATAAAATGTTTGTAGATAAAATATGTGGAAAATATCTTAAGAAACCTTTCAAAGTATAAATTGAAATGTAATATTTTTTTTTCAATATTTTTCAATACGATTTTTTGCAACTATGTTGACTTGAGAATTCTACTAATACATTCTTAGAGTTAGGTACCGGATGACAGTACACTTAGGTACTTTTGACAGCAGTTTCATTTCTTATTTATTCTTTGGCTCAAGCATTGCACAAACATCTTCAACATCCATATGAACATTTGGGCTTAAAATATTCGCGAAAATAAGCGATATTAAAAAAATTATAACGTTTTTTCCCGAATAGGTAAAAAAATAATTGTAATAATTTTGACAAACAATTTAAAATTGAAAATATATTACCACATCAAACTTTTTTTTATATTTCGAGCAAATCATTTTTTTAATTGTTCTAAACTTAAAAATTGTGCATCTAGTAAATTTGAATTGATTATCAAATTCACAAATCAATTTTAAAACTGTTATTATTATAGAATCATAGCTGCAATCGTAATCGAAATTTTACAGCTATGTATAGAATACAAAATATTAATGTTAATGCTTTTGTTTCTGTACATTTCCAGAAACGAACGAAAAATTATAGATTATATATCAATAAAAAAATATTTTAAATATTTTAATCGAATTTAAAGTAATGCAACTTGTATTATACAAGTGCATTTTATTTAAAATATGCTCTTTTTTCAATAAAATGCTGAATTTTACGTTTAGATACAAATTCAAACTTAATTTTAAATGATACTAAACCTAATAATTTGTATGCATTTATTGGGTTTTCAAAACGATTCGAACAGAACAGACCAAATTTATTTTTCTAAACATCAAATAAATTGCAGTCATTAGGTATTATTAATTCGGCTATTTTTGCATCACAATAACAAAGCTTATTCAATATCCTAAAATTGGAACTTTCTGTAAGATAAATCATTTCAATCGTCTAACTACCTCATAGATAAATTTGAAAAAATAAAATACAAAACATTTCTCAATTTTTTTCTGTATGATATAGAACATCTATCTGTTCACCGTTCCTGTCTACTATTCTAAAAATTCAATTTGTATATTGGTACCTAAAATGTAAACGCCACTAACTAAATACAAAACCCCCTTTAAAATTAATTATAATGTCCTCATAAATAACCTTAAAACTTTATGTTGCTGCTAAATCGATGATTGACTCTTAAAACAATATGGATATATCTTTGCTGCAACATTCACTAAAAACAATTCTACGCATTAAAATTGTTCTGCGTATACTCTCGATTTTAATAATCAACATTTACAGCACTACCATGACCCAATCCACTATTTAGCAGGAAGGATAATCCTTGATAGTCAAACACCTCTAATTTTGAATATGGTCGTAAACTTTTTTTAATGGACGTCAAATTACTATATTCTCAATTTTCTATATTTAGGAACCAATCAAAAGAAATTTGAGCTGAGATCGATTTCTTTTCATCGCAAAAATGATATGCATTAAAAATTGTTTTTTATTACCCTTTTATTTTCAAGAAATAAATTTTCAATCTATTTTAGCAACTTTTGTTTATGCCTTAACAGCGAATTTTCTTTGTGGGTAAATAGACCTCTTGCGGATTTCCTTCAGGGTCTTTCTGTTGGCGTCTCTTGGGGACAAAGCCTTGCGAATGGCACGAGTCTTCTTTTTTCTCAAATCCAATGGCTTATACTTTTTGTTCTTGTATACTTTACGCAAGTTTTCCTTTTGCTTTTGGTGCATAACAATATAAACACGGGCAATAGCTTTGCGCACAACACGGCTAAAATTGAATAATGGTTATATATTATTTTTGTTAATTAACATTAAATAGGTATATACTTACATTTTTGAGAGCTTAGAAGGTGCTCCACCAGTTACCTTAGCAACACGTAAGTTAAGCAACTCATTCTTCAGCTCATCGAGCTGCTTGGTGAGCTCTTTTTTGTCCTTTGTTCTTAAATCTGAGCACTTGACTTTAACCTGGAAAAAAGTAATATTTTAATTAAATATTTTTAAGAATGCTTGTAAAATTAGTAAACACATTATATACATATTGACAATGTAAGAAAATTTTAATAGAATTTCTTGGGATGCCACAGATATTTACAAAATTAAATTAAAAAAAAATTTCACCAACCATTTTGTCTGCCACTCACGCCAAAAAGAAACATTCAAAGTTGTTTTCTTCCGTCAAAATTTGACAGCAGAGTTTTCATAAAAATCTGTTTTGATATATGTCGCATTAACATTTAAATATGGCAACACTTCGAAACTGTTATACATGAGTTCTATAAACGACTTTCTAACAAAAGAAGTTTTTAACGAAAAGTCGACTATTTTAATTTAAATTATCTTTTAATGGTACATTTCCACTGGCTTGAAATCTGCTAGATTTGCGTAATACCCCATTTACACATACACGAAATCTAGTACTTATGAGATTTCGAGCCAAATCTAGTTGATTTTAACTAGATTTCCCATACAAAACAAAATCTACTTCGTAACTAGATTTCGTTAAAATCTACTCAAAATCTAATAGTTTTTAGTGATGCAACTCTGTTTTTCCCTAAATAATACTAAAAAATACGACGCTATACAAGAAAAAAGAGGAAAACAAAACAAACAAAAAAAAAAATTAAAATGTCGACAAAATTTTTATAAATTGAAAAACGTGAATGAAAAGTTAATCTAAAATAAAAAGTAATGTTATATTCAAATATATATTTTTTATTATAAATAAAATTTGAATAAATATCCCATTTTTCTTTCTTATTTTTCATATCACACACTTTTTCCAGAAATTAGAAAAAAATGAAATCTTCCTAAATATCAAGAAGAGAAAGTGTTAACGGTTTAGATTTGCAAAAGGATTTTAAATGAAATCTACTAGATTTCGTGTATGTGTAAAAGAGGTATAAACCTCTTCAAGGTGTTTCCACTGAGCTTACTCATTTTTGATATTCGAATTTTCGAACAAATTCTGTCACTTTATTTTTTCATATCCACAATAAAGTTAATTTTATTTAAAATTACATATTAAAAATAAAAAATTACAGTTGTAAACGAATAAATTTATTTATTAAACGCCACTCTAGTAGATTAACTAGATTTGGATGTGTCAAAAATGTACAGTGAATCAATTAAGTAATTTGCCTATGTAAAATTTTATTAATTTTAAGAAAAAAACTTTATCTGAACAATTATTTTTAGCAAGATAAAGCAATTTGTTTGTTGTACTTTTTAAAGAATATCTTATATTTTAATTTTCTACCATAAAAAGTAAAATCGTGATATTAATTAACGAGATTTTTGATAAAATGTGAACGTATTGTTAATTTTTAAGGTCAATAAAGTATTTTGCTTTTTTAGGTTTTTTGTTCATCTTTTTAATATTGCTGCATTATTTTATAAAATTTAATATTTTTATTACTCCTATGTATTAGAATAAAATTTTAGTAGTGGAACGACTAAGTTTGGACATTTCTTAACCGATTTATTATCCTATATACCTATAAGAATTTTTCAATATTTGACTTAACATGAAATCTATCGTTTCTTTGATTTAATTTCGAAAATAATAAGTAATTTTGAATTGGATACATGATATATTAGGAAATCAATGGATTTGGACCTAGAAAAAAATTTTAGTGGGGTATAAATCTATAGATTATAACAAATATAATCTGGGTTTTTGGTCATTTTGTATTGATAAATAAAAACTACATTACGGAAACCCCATCTATTTGGGGAGTACTGTGTGAATTTAATTTAGAATTGTATAATATTGATTCTTATTCAATAAAGCTAACACTAAGTACCATCCTAGCCACTCTAAGTATGGGGATATCACCGTTTACCACTATAGAACTATTACATGCTAGAATCTTGATATTCTATCTCATATTTTGAATGCATTATTTTATGAATAAAATACAGTAGGCGTAGTTGGATTTGGATAGTTATTCTTGATTTGGGTTCTAACTATATATAAGTGTATGTATTAGCTGAAAAATATTGCTTTTGTGGATCTTAGGTGATGAGAACAGCCTCTATTTGTAAATATCTAAATTAAGTATTTTTCCCGTACCACACGATAGGTCACTTTATATTGTATCCAAGCAACCTATGGTCTGTTTAGAGGTCAAAATTTAAACATAGTATTCTTTTAAGTTCGTATATGGACTTTGGAGAAGAAAAATGAGGACTTCAGTGGTTTTTGCTTGGATACAAGTCGCTCTCCTTTGGCAGTTAAAGATTTTGAAAGACAACTCAGTGCGTTTTTTTAATAATTCTTTGTGTTATTTCATCAATTTCTATATTTTATATTTTTTAATGATTGATTAAACATATCATAATTGAATTTCATTGATTTATACTTGTTCTAAAAATATAAACTAATTTTTTATATTGGAATTGCCTCAGTAATTCCCTTTAAACATTTTTGACTGTGTAGTTTCAATTGAAAAATACTTAACACGTGTCCTTTTAACAATAAAACAATAAATTCCAAAAAGCAATTAAAAACTAATTTGAAAAACCCAACGAAATTAACTGAAAATTTCAATATGCAAAATACTTTATTGACGTGCAAATTCTGATGAAAAATAATAATAAAAACAAATGCACCAAAATTTTTATTTTAATATTTTTTCTTGGTTTTCCCATTCTACATAATCTCTATTTTCAATTGGAAAACATAATTTTACTTTTTACCTGTTTTTTTGAATTTTATTTATGAACAAAAAACAAAATTCTCTTATACCCCATTTACACATACACGAAATCTAGTAGATTTCATTTAAAATCTTTTTCCAAATCTAGTCCGTTTACACTTACTATTCTTGACATTTAAGAAGATTTCATTTTTTCTAATATTTCTTGAAAAAGTGTGTGATATGAAAAATAAGAAGGAAAAATGGGATATTTATCAAAATTCCATTTAAAATAAAAAAAAAATAGATATTTAAATATAACATTACCTTTTATTTTAGATTAACTTTTCATTCATGTTTTTCAATTTATAAAAATTTTGTCGACATTTTAATTTTTTTTGTTTGTTTTGTTTTCTTCTTTTTTCTTGTGTAGTGTCGTATTTTTTAGTATTATTTATGAAAAAACAGAGTTGCATCACTAAAAACTATTAGATTTTGAGTAGATTTTAACGAAATCTAGTTACGAAGTAGATTTTGTTTTGTATGGGAAATCTAGTTAAAATCAAGTAGATTTGGCTCGAAATCTCATAAGTACTAGATTTCGTGTATGTGTAAATGGGGTATTAAAAAAAGGTAGGCAAAAAACTTAGTTGATTCACTGTATGTGAAATCTACATGATTTCAACTAGTTTTGCCCAAATCAACTAAATTTGCTCAAAACGCCTTAATGGAAACATGGCATAAGATATTCGATTAATTATTTTTGCTTTTTATAGGGGACTATATAGGCTATATTCTTAAGATTAAAATTGTTGCAACGGCGTTTTATTGTTGTCTTAAGAGAATATTTAAAATACATTTTATTTATATGGATATTTTTTAATTTAAAAGATATCTCAGATTTTTATACTTTATGACATGTCCATTAGAGATCAAAAAAGAAAATTGCCACATAAACATTTAAATAATGGCTTATATGGCTTTTTTAATGGGTGATTGAAAAATATTCACACATTAAAAATGATTATATTTTTGTATATTTTCATTCAAACGTTCAAAATTACTTGAACAAAAAAAAATCAAATTTGTGTTTTATATAAATCAAACTTGAAAAATTTTTTGCTTTATGACTAAAAATTATTGTTTTGTATTCAAACAATCATATTTGTTTGGAATCAATTATTCACAACTGATTTGAACTCAATCAAACTATGTACATTTTGTTGGCATTTTGATTAAAATCATTGCATACTTCATTTTAATCATTTTAGGTTTTGGCTCGTTCGATTCAAAAATGATTATTTTGATTAAAATAAAACTAAAAAAGACTATAATCAATTGGTATGACTTTTTGCTTTTATAACATAAAAGCAAAAAGATTTACATTTCATACATATGTAAGTGTTTACATAAATATGTACATATACATATGATTTTAAATTTAATGTTTTACACATTATGGTATACACACAATTGGGAGCATTAACATATTTTAGAACATAAGTTCGAATTATGCGAACTTAGTTTTCGAACGTAACTTCGAATTTAATTCATGACTGTCAGGTTATTAGGAATTTTGGTCTACGGGAACTATTTTTGACAGCTTTAAAAAATTTTAAAACATTCGTTCAAATTTTCGAAACAAATTTTTTTATTTTTAACGAGCTGGAGATTATTTTAAAAACATAAAATTTTTTTGAACATTAATTCGAATTTTCGAACTTAAATTCGAAAATGCTAACATAATGTTATATTGTAAATTTTCATCAATTTAGGTCTACAGGAACTGTTTTCAACAGCTTAAAAATATTTTCGAATATAAGTTCGAATTCATTACTTAGAATTTTAAAACGTAACTTCGAACATAATATTTTAGTGACAAATTTCAGTAAATTTGTGTAAATTTTAATTTTGAAGATTTTAATTTTTAATTTTAATATTCACAAGTGTTCTAATTCTGAATTTTGCGTGTATTATTACTTAAGTAGAAATTAAATTTAAAAAAAAATATTGATCAAAAAATAATTATTATTAGAAATTGGCAGGAATATAATTGATTTGTAATGCAAGTTTAGATAATAATGGATAAGACGATTCATTTAATTTCCACCATTTAAGTACATCAAAGCCCTCAGAAATATCAACAGTTTATTTATCTCCTCTGCTGGTGTTTTTATAATTCTCGATATTGGATTTTTAAATAAATCAGGAAAATAAAACTGGGTATCTACTTTTAATGATTTTTTGGTAGATTCTGCATCCGATTCTGATGAAATGTTGCCTTCGGCCAATGAACATTGGAAATTAGCTACAGGATCAGACAAAGTGGTAGTTGATATTGGTATAGGAGTTTCTTCAGTCAAATTTTCCATTAGTGAAACACAAAAATTTTTAATTTCACTTAAATCGTGTTGTTGCATTCTTAATGCTGGTGGGTACAAAAAGAATTTTATGAATCAAAATTTGAAACAACCTGGAAAAAAATAAGCATTTTTTACACATTCCGATGTAATTTTCTCGAAAACTGTGCAAGATAAATCCATGAAAATCACCATACATTCGTTTCTACACAAGAGCTTGACTCCTGCTGCAAAA